TTGCTGCTGGGATCTCAATTGGAATTGCATTAAATCTATATAGCAGTTTTGGAAGTATGGCCATTTTCACTATATTAATCCTTCCTACCCAGGAGCCCTGCCCTATTTTTTGACGTAAAGTCTCTCAGTACCCCACGTGGATTCGAATTTGTGACCCTCTGGTCTCAGCCTTCCACAGTGCTGGGATTACAGGCCTGGATCACCACGTCCAGTTTAGTTTTTTTTTTTTTTCTTTTCCTTTTTTGACTGCAGACCCTTTTGATTTATTTAGCTATTTAGAACAGCCCAGCTTCTTCAGGGCGGCCTCCTCAGTTACTAGGTTTGCTTGGTGTAATGAACTGCGCAACTAGGTGACAGGCACTGCATCATAACCAGAACTTGTTGCTTCTATTTTGTCAAATGGTAAACCACAGAACCATGAATAAGCTCTTGGCTCAGAATACTGACCCCTCCCCGCCCCCGCCCCCAGACAGTTAAACCTCCTTTCTAGCAGTGTTCCAGCAACTTTCTAGGGTCTGTGTCCAATCCACCTATCCCCTATTCCTCGTGTATGGTGGCTAAAATGGAAATCATGCACAGAAATAGTCCCTGCCTCACCATCATACACTAAAAGAGAAGGGCAATTTATGCTGTTAGAAATCCTAGGGTTTCTTGTATACTGTTTTACACACACAATCTGGAATAATTTTTTAAACAATACTAATAACTTAAGAACTAGTTGCTCAATCTACCTCTTACGGGCAGCTCATTGAGCAGAAATGGACAAAAAGAGAAGAAATGTTTTTAGGCCGGTACGATTACAAATGTTGAGCCTGGTGTTTTTCTTCTTCAACCTAGGTCCGACCTTAATCCTCCTACCTACAAGCCGCCCAGGCTCGAGACCGGAAGTCTGATACCTACACGAGCCGCTCTTCCTTCCTCCCCACTCTATGGTTCTCAGGTTACTCTTGCCACCGGGAACTCTATGGTTCCGGGGCGGGCTGGGAGGCCTGAATTTGAAGACTGGCGGGAAGGTGGTGGTGACATCTGTCACTAGGCCGGGGTTCTCCGGAGTAGGAGGGCGCTGGGACTATGCTTTGTCCTGAACATCTGACAAAGGTTTGCAATGAATCTTCCGCTCCGGAGTGGGAAACGGCGGCGTTCAGCATCGGTCTCAGACTCGTCCCCGGGAAGCGGCGGTGCCAGTAGCGTCAGAGTCCAGCTCTCCGCCGGGCCGGTGCTGAGCCCACCTCCGGGCCTGGGACGCAGCCTGAAGGCCGCAGGTGTGGCTACTCCCGGGGTTGCCGAACTCGCCCGTGTGCCAGCCCCCGCCTTCCCTTTCCCTCTCTGTTTGTGACTCGAGCCTGGCGCCCCAGGCGTCTTGCTGCGGGAACCTTGGCACGTTTTTAATGACCGCGCGTGGTGGTAATGTTCAGCTGGCTTCTGGGTCTTCCGGTCTTTTTTGTTTTTGTTCTTTTGAGACAGGGTCTCTCATGTAGTTCAGTCTCGCCTTGAACTCAGTAAGTATCTCAGACTGGCCCCGAAACTAGTGCCGTAGCCTCTCGCGTGCTGGATCACAGGCGTGCACACAGCATGGGTCCTTCGATCTTCACAGAGACAACTTCCTAATTGACCAAACCCTGTTAACCTGAAGCAGGCTTGCCTCTCATATATAGTGCCGAGGCACAGGCTCTTTAGAGTCCAGAGGAAGGCTGGACAGGATTGTAATTTTCTCAGACTGGTCATGAGTAAGGTTAAATTTCGTGACAAGGAGCGTAAATTACGATCTGGGTATATTTCACCCAACCTTACTCACACCAAGGCCAACTCTGTAGTTGCAGTCATCACAGCATTAAGATAGAAACCTCCCTAACTTAGCTTTGTAATGCTTACATGTACCCCGCGGAGCCTCCAGCCCTAATCTCCCCACCATCGGAATTTCAACACTCCTTACATTGTGTATTATCGTATTTGCGGAAGGAGGGGATTGTTTGGGGCTTTTTAAGTAGTTTTGTGTGTGGTTTTTTTTTTTTTTTTTTGGTACTGGGGATCGAACTCAGGACCTTGCGATTGCGAGGCAGGCGCCAGAACAACTGAGCTAAATCCCTGGCCCAGGGCCTTTTAAGAAGTTTAAAAAATTCCATCCAAGCCTGGCATGGTTTCGCACAACTGTGACCTCAGCAATCTGAGGCAGGAGAATTGCTGGTGAGTTTCAGGCCAGCCTGGGCTGCAGAGTGAGTGCCAGCCTGAATTACAGAGCAAAAACTTGTCTTAAGAAAAAAAAATTCTATCCACTAGGCAACATTTTATTATTACCTTTCTATACCTGGCCAGTTTCCCATGAGCTTCATGAACTCAGTATGCGCTTTAAATAGCTTCCTTCTAACACACAGGAATTCCAACACACAGTGGAGGGCTAACTACCAAAGTTACATGTCTGAACTAAATTAAACTATTGTTTCTTTTTTTCTGAAAGGACTATGCAAGCAACCAGTTCCTGATGACCAAACAGACGAACTGTTATTGGCAAATTGGGGACTTCCTAAAGCAATTCTACAGAAATATCACAGTTTTGGTGTAAAAAAGATGTTTGAATGGCAGGCAGAATGCCTTTTGCTTGGACAAGTCTTAGAAGGAAAGAATTTAGTTTATTCAGGTACTCAAATTTATGCAAACGAATTTCTCTACTATTTTTAAGATGTTACCTGTGTAAAAGATACTATGTTGAGTTAGGTTGGAGTTTTGAAATTTTTAAAATTAATTTATTTTTGTTTGGAGACAGGGTCTTGCTATATAGCTCGCCCAGGCTGGATTCAGACTCATGGAGGTCCTCCTGCCTTAGCCTTCTGAGGGCTGGGCTTATCCAGATAGACTTTTTTTTTTTTGAAAGAGTGGATGAGACAAGACTTTATAAATAGGAAAGTCTTAAAATATCCATTACAAGTATAGAGTCATCATATGCATATTTAATTATGAAAGTTCCATTATAAGGCTGAGTGGGAGGTAAAGCAAGGAATATTATTTATTGGTTTATTTAGTTTTTGGGTTTTGTTTTTTGTTTTTTGTTTTTTGTTTTTGGGTATTTTTTGAGACAGGGTCTCTCTTTGCAGTTCAGGCAGACCTTGAACTCACTATGTAGCTAAGGCTGGCCTTAAACTTGTGGCAGTCTTCCTGCCGAAGCATGAGTGCTGGGATTATAGGCCTGCGCCACCATCCCTGGCATAGAATATTATAATTTATAAAATAAGCAATTCTGCTATACAAGCTTGTGTCCCATAGTGTGTGTGATGGGAGATGTGAATTTTTTTATTTCCCCATTTCAGTTGCTTTCAGGGTGTGAATATTATACATTATATGCATATAAATTGATCTGTTTACCAGGGTTGTATGTACAACCTATATATAGTATGTTTTGTAGAAGATTCATGTGGGCTATCTAGGGCAACTTTGATATACATAATTTTTGATCTGTGCTTGCCACATTGACTTTGGAATCCAGTCAATTCTTTTGTGTCAGTATTTTCTGAAATTGTGAGTCACCCAGAATTTTCATTATGGCTGCAAAAAAAGAATTCGAGAATTAACTTAACAGCAGACATAAGTTCAGCCTGTGGAGTTAGACTGAGTTTGAAAGTAGTATCACTTACTGGTTGTATAACCTTGCAAATTATGGGTTATGGGGTGGGGAGGGAAGAGACAAATGCTTGGTAGTATTTAGGATCACATTTCTTGTGTATAAGAGCTTAGAACAGTTTCTGTCATGTAGAAAGTACTACTCCTAAATGTTGACATTAGTGGTAGTGGTAGAATAGCATGCACTTCAGTTGCAAACCAGAACTTGAATTATCACTCATATCTCTGGTCATCTGTTCACACAATTACCCATCTGTCTCTTGATTCTGACTACTTTTGACTGCTTTTTGTTCTTACACCCATTGCGGGGCACAGCTCTTCATAATTTTTCTTTAAGATTAGGCAGTTGTTTTATAACTAGTTTTTTTCCTGTTTTTGCCTTGCTCCTTCAGCCAAAGTGCCCTTTAAAGGTACAAATATGATCTTGTCACTACTTCTCAAAGAATCCATCAATGATTCTGCCTCGCTTTTAGGATAGTCCAGTAAACTACTTTCCTAGTAGGATTCTAAAACTCTTCCTCACGTGCCAATTTCATATCTTCTTCCACTCCCAGAGTACTTAGTAAATTCCTTACTGTCATCCGAGTGGGTCAGGATATCCTTTCTGTGTGCTGTTTCTTAAGCTTGGCATTCTTTTCCCCTTCCATTTTACCTCCCCTCTCATAAGTTCTAGTTTCTTACTTCAAGCTTCCTTCCAACTGGCTGCACTCAGTTTCTATCACAGCTTCTATCACGTTATATTGAAGTTGTTCATCCTCCTCAGAGCAGGGCTTTTAGTCATTCAGTTAATGGAAGAGTATTTTGGGAGGTTTTTTCGGGGGGGAATCTTTAGGTATATGCTAGGTACTAATAATATTGGTCATTTATTGCTGATATAAGGATTTTTTTACTCTCAAAAATAAAGATTTTTTTTTCCTCTCTATTTTCAGTGAGAAAGTATTTAGAAAGCTGGTTTAAAGTCAGGGGCTTTTCAGGGTATAAAGGTTTCAAATGTTAGTTGGGCTCTTAATGATAGGCTCTCTAATACTGAATACGGCATAAAACATTTATTAATGCAGTGTACAAAATATTACTTGTTTTTCATTTTAACTGTTGCATAATCATGTTTTAGCTCCTACAAGTAGTGGGAAGACCCTTGTTGCAGAATTACTTATTTTGAAGTGCGTTTTGGAAATGCAGAAGAAAGCTTTGTTTATTCTTCCCTTTGTTTCTGTGGCTAAAGAGAAGAAATATTATCTCCAGGTAATGTTCAAGTACTAAGTTTGAAATAGTAAAAGGCCTGTTGTTGGCATCCTTAGCTTTATTCATTTAAAAAAGTTTAGGAAAGCAAGTGAAAAACAAAATTTCTTTTACTGTATCCCATTTACTTTTTTTTTTTTTTTTTGGTACCGGGGATCAAACTTGGGACCTTGTGCTTGTAAGGCAGGCGCCAGAACCACTGAGCTAAATCCCCAGCCCCCCATTTACTTTTAAAAACTATTAAAAGTGTTAAAAGTTTACAGAGGAAAACTTAAAAAAATTATTGTTGCATAAAAGAGAAAGGGCCTTAAAGTCCCATAAGTGATTATTGACTATTGTGTAAAAATTTATAAATGTTTTCTTAGGAAGTAAATGAATAGTTAATTATCATATAAACCTGAAAATTAAGAATCAGCATTTTAACTGAATTGTAGGTCTAGTGTGATGAGCAGCTAGTGGCTGAGGAAGCATGTCCCATTCTGTTTGAGGGTCAATGGGAATGTTAGGGGCCGATGGACAAGAGCCATTGGTGTTTGGGCAAAGCTCCAGATCTGTGATATGTTCCTCCCCTCTTTTGTAAAAAGAAATAGTACAAGTTTACATTGATATGATACTAACTAGTTTTTAAGGCATTTTCACAAATAGTGTTTCACCAAATGCAATAAACTTACTATTGTGATTTCTTCAATGAAAAAAATGTGTTGTTGGAATGGAAAGATTATTGTACTAATAGGCAAAAAAAATATGGATTCTAGTCCCTTTTACTACTGGATTCACTCATGCTCAGAAGAAATTTATTGAATGAACAGCTCTAAAGTTCTGTGGTTCTATAAATCTTTTTAACAGTTATTTCAGAGGCCAAATAGCCAACAAAGCTGGTGCTTCATGGTAGCATCCTCTCAACTTAGACCCAAAGTAACAAAATGATGAAAGGATCCTTTTTACTGAGAAGGTATGTTAGCTAAAAGTTAAACTAGAAAAAGAAAAAAGTTAATTCCACAATCCAACTGATTTTGACTTCTAAAAACTTTTCTTCCATTAATAAACAACTGGTCATTGGTAGAATAATAAGACTTCCTTATGAAGTATAAATTTGTTCCTTAAAATGTTAAATTATCATTAATTAAAATTAGTTTCTTGCTGTTTATTAGATTAAAAATGTTAGTGCTTAAGGTAATTTCCTCCAATTTTAATTTCTATAAACACTTCTTAGATCTTAGATTACTAAATGCTATCATTAAAATGAATTAATTTTATATGATCTTTTAAAACTTGGTTTTATTTTATTTTTTAATTTTATTGGAACATTTTAGATATACATAATGCTGACTTCATCAGGGAATTTGTACTTGTACATAATATATCTTAATTTTGACTCTTTCTTAACAAAAGTCTCTGTATTGAGCTTTGTCAGTTTCAAACTTCATATTTTCAGTACATGTTTCTAAAAAGGATGTGAGTGTTGGCCAAGAGCAACTGACAGAAATCCCATAAATGTCTTTAGATAGTTATGTCTGTTTGCTTGTATAGAACCCATCCATAACTCGTGAATTACAATTTTTTTCACCTGTGTTGTTCTCAATTCAGAGTCTGTTTCAGGAAGTAGGAATAAAAGTGGATGGTTATATGGGCAGTGCCTCTCCATCAGGGCATTTCTCTTCCTTGGATATTGCTGTCTGCACAATTGAGAGAGCCAATGGTTTGATCAATCGCCTCATAGAGGAAAATAAGATGCATCTGTTGGGTAAGAAAATTTAAGCAAATATTTCTTATTGCTATCTTTGATGGGACAGAATGAAACTATTATGATTTCTATACATAACTGAGTGCAAAGGCTCAGGGTACAAACTCCATTACAACAAAAAAATCAACACTTAACTGACATAGGTGTCTTTGGTATACATTATATATGTATTTCTATAAAGTTTCCAATTTAGAAGTGTCTGAGAAATGATAGGCAGTGTTCCTTGGTCCTGTGTTGTATTACTATCTGTCATCTGCTTCTGGAGAAAAGAATTGGCATCTGTAATGTTAGCAACTCTGTGTAAAAAAAGTATGTTTTTCCTGAGTTCGATTCCTGGTACCCCGTGCCCCCCCCCCCCCAAAACCAAGAAACTATGTTTTGCATTCTGCTGCTGTTGTTGACTTCACTACCATACTTTTTTTTTTTTTGGTACCGGGGATTGAACTTGGGACCTTGTGCTTGCGAGGCAGGCAGCAGAACCACTGAGCTAAATCCCCGGCCCATACCATACATTTTTGTACTTTATAAAATATAGAGGATATTCTTGAGTCTGTCAGTTTTCATTTTCCTTCGGAACTTTACCAGCAGTAGAAGCTTTTGTGGGCTAGATTTGCCATCTCCACAGTTAGTATATCTGTGTATTATCCTACTCTGGTACTCTGATATTTAGATTAGGCCTGGACCTAGAAGTGCCCATTCAAAGTAAATGATAGGGAACCATGGAAACATAGAAATGACAGTGAAGCCTGGCATGCTGGTGCATACCTGTAATCCTAGCAGCAGATTCAACAAGAATATCAGCTACTTATTAAGAACCTGGTGAACTTAAAAATAACATGGTCGGGCCAGGGATTTAGCTCAGTGGAGGTCCAGAGTTCTATCCCCGATACCAAAAAAAAAAAAAAAAAAAAAAATAACATGTTCAAATGGTGGTAGGGTAGGTATGGGGGATGAGAATCAAAGATTAGTAAGACATGGACTCTGCCTTGCAGAGCTTGGAGAGAGAAATCATGGTCAATTTGTATTAGGTTTGGCTTAGTACTTCTGACTCTATTGGCCTTTAAATATCTTGAGGATTGTAACAGAATCTTATTGTTATATTCAGTGTACCTAGTGCAGTGTTTGATAGAATAGACTAGAATAGAATAAATAGAATATTTTTGGATGCATGAATATGTGCTGAAGTAATTCCTTGTATAGTATGATTTGGAGATAGCTTACTGGTAAGGAAAAAGAGTATCATGTGTCCTTAGGAAATTGTCTGAAAAGATTTGGGTTTGGTGAGGAGGATTTGGTAGGGGGATACCAGTATATATGGAAAAAACTGATGTTACAAAACTGTTTATCCAAAGAAGGCATTGTTTATACTAAATTTTCTGTAATTCTTGAACATCATTCCAAGTGCATAATTGGTTCATTTTTTCAAGTTATGGAGAAGTACTTATGTTTTGCAGCAGGATGACATTAGCCTATCACATTAAAAGAAATCTCTTAAAATCATCTTTCTTCTTGACCAGTTCTGTTTTTTACTAAGCAACTTTTTTTTTACATGAAGATGGTTGTTTCCTTATAGATAAAGTTAATACAAGCCAGATATGGTGGCTCATGCCTGTAATCAGAGCACTCTGGGAGGCTAAGGCAGGAGGACTGGAAGTTTGAGTCCAGCCTGGAAAATTTAGCAACTAAGAAGGATGCTGTCTCAAAAAGGGGGAAGGGGGCTGGGGATGTAACTCAGTGCAGAGACCTAGCGTACAAACCCCATTACTTAAAAAAACAAACAAACAAAACTATATAATTAACATAGATGTCTTTGGTATATCATTGTGTTTATTTCTATAAAGTTATTTATTTATTTATTTATTTATTTATTTATTTATTTATTTATTTTTTGGTTTTTTGAGACAAGGTCTTACTACGTAGTTCAGGCTGACTTGAACTCACTGTGTAGCCCAGGCTGGCCTTGAACTCACAGCGATCATCCTGCCCTAGCCTCTGGAGTGCTGGGATTACAGGTGTTCACCACCATGCCTGGCAAAAGTTGCTGATTTAGAAGTGTCTGAGTAATGATAGGCAGTGTTCCTTGGGTTTGGTTAGTTCTGAGATAGCTAATCATTGGTTTTTAGATCCAGAGTACATTGTGGTAGGACTGCTTATGATAACTGAAGCATCTTGGAAAATAATTACTTATGCAGAATATAGTTTTTCTTGTGTAGCTTGAAATTTCATCACTTGCAATATATTATAGGTATTTGCTGTATAGATATATGGTATTGAGTTTTAAAAAATTCTTAGGATTGTGAAGTTCTGTAAAACTCAGCATCTGGAAACTTTTTAGGAATGGTGGTTGTGGATGAGCTGCACATGCTGGGAGACTCTCACCGAGGGTATCTGCTGGAACTTTTGCTCACTAAGATTTGTTTTCTTACTCAGAAATCAGCATCTCGGTGAGTACCGGAAATGACTGTATTCCTGCTATCCAGTGTTGAGAAACTTGCTTCAAAGTGCAAAAGTTCAAGTAAAAGGAATATAGTACTTTCTTTACAACAAATGCATGTGCAGTAGTCTGTTTTTGTTCTGAAAGAAGTATTTCAGGCTAAAATTGATTTTAGATTACTTTGTAAACACTGTTAAATTTCTGACTGCTCAGTATTTCAGGGTACACACTTTTATGATAGATTTTTTTAAAAAATCTAGATTTAGTGTTTGTCAGTTATACACATAATTTGAATTATCAGGACTAATTTTACAAAATAACATTTCTTCAGCCCCCACTTCTCAGAGACAGTAACTTTCAAGTCTTCTAGCTTTTAAAAAAATTATTTAAATTTACAGCAGTATCTCTAAATGCAGCTACTTGAGTTTTAGTTTTAGACATCATCTATCAACTTCTAACTATGGAACATCTCTCCTCACTAACACTGAATCTCTTCTCATCCTCCTCAGTCTCTCCTTATTCTCTTATCATCTTCTCATTCTCCATATGTAATTATAATTTTGCTCAATATTTTTCAGTGTTATAGTAATATAACTATATGAGTACCATTGTAAACTGAGTTAGATTATACTGTGCTTACTTTTACCTTTCTAAAAAAAAGTCTTTTATCTGAAATTAATAGATGTCTTTCTTGTTTGGTGGCTTGGCTTTCTAGGGGCTTATGATTAATTTACCCCTGGCCTCTTCCCCAGTTGTGTAAGTCCCCTGTTATGTATTCCAATACATTTGCTCTCCTACCAAAGTTATCACCCAGAAGTTTGTCTGAAGGCCTTCCGAGATGCTCCATTCTGGAGAGGTTTAGTCTATGTATGTGCTGCACAGCACTTGGCTAGGGATCTCTCTTCATCATTATCATTCATTTCTGTTGCCTTCAGCTTGATACAGAGCCCCTTTTTCTGCATTACATGCCTATCTCTTGATTTATTTCCTCATTTTTGTGGAGCTGTCATCTAGAAAATTCCCCTTATTTCAGTAAAGACACCAGAATAAAGTTTTTAAGACTTGTTATTTTTATTTTTTACCATACTAGGGATTGAACCAGGGCCTTGCATTGCACTATATCCCTAGCCTTTATTTTATTTTATTTTATTTTTTAAAGATATTACTAAGTTGCTAAATTGCCCAGGCTGCCTTCAAACCATATTTGAAAATTCCTTTTAATTTATATTTATTAAATTGTCTAGGTATAAAAGTCAAGATAGAATTATTTTAGTACTTTATTTTTTCATTTTATTGAAAAATCCAATGCCATGCTGATCTTTCATCCTTTATATAATATTTTTAAAAATTAATTTTTTTTCTTTTTTTTTCCTTTAGTGTGGTGAGATTTCATACTGATGGATCTGAGTGTTGTTCTATTTTCTTTTGTTATGTTGGGTACTAAATAGCTTTCTTTCATTTAGAAATATTTGAATATATATCTTAGTTTATGATAGAATATAATATATGATAGATATACTATATCCCAAATCCTTAGGAGTATAGAAGATATGACTAATACAATCAGCAAGTTTGACCTAATTGTTGTGTGTAGAATAGTTACCAAAACCAGCGAGTACATATGTTTTTCAGTTTATTCAAATGAAACATTTAGGTAAAGATTTATCATACGCTGGGTCATATAATAAGTCTTAATATATATCAAAGGATTGAAATTACTTCAAATATGTGCTTGGCTTCTGGGTGTGGTGGTGCATGCCCATGATCTCAGCACTTAGGAGGCTGAGGCAGAAAGATTGCTGGGAGTTTAAGGTCAGCCTGTGCTACATAGTGAATCCAAGGCCAGCCTGAACTACATTGTGAGACCCTGACTCAAAAAAAAAAAAAACAGAAGAAGAACAAAAAAACCCCCAAAAACTATTGACTGTAATCATTTTGTACTGCAAACACATACTAATAAAAATAAAAAGTTAAAAATATGCTCTCTGACAACAGTGGAATCAAGCTATAAATAAGCAAAGCATAACTAGAAAATATATACATATTTAGAAATTAAATAATATATTTTTGGACTCATGTTTGGGGCAAAAGAATAATCAATAGAAATTAGAAAATAGTTTTGGGCTACAAAAATACCTCATAATACATTTTGGTCCTCATTTACACTTTGGATTTCTCACACCAGAGAAATTATTCGGTATTTCCCCACATGTGTACTATTTATTTCACTTAAGAGAATGGCCTCAATGTACATCCACTTAGCTATAAATGTCTCTAGTTTATTGTTCTTTATGGCTGAATAGTACCCTATTTTATAAAAAAACCACATCTTCTTTAGATAATGTGAAAGAAGAAGAAAAAATCCAAAGGGGAAGGGGAAGTGGGGGGAGTGGGAGAAAGGAAAGAAGGGAAAGAAAAAATATGAGAAAAGGAAAAAATGGAAACACATTTTTTTGTAAGTAGGGAGGGGTGGAGGCGTAGAAGGGAGGGAAGGGGAATGGGGAAAAAAGAAGAACCAAGGTATATCTGTACAGGTACACATTCCCAATGATGAATGTGATCATAATGTATACCTAAAATGTACCAATAAACCTAATGAAAAAAATCTCATAATAAATGAATGCAACTGAAGTTGTTTTAAAGTGAAATTGGTAGTATTTTATAGATATGTAAATTACTTACTGTATCCATTTCAAGAACTTCAGAAAAGAATTGTAAGGTAATGTCACAGAAAATATAAGGAATAAAATGGTAAAAACAAGAACAAAAATTAATGAAAGAGGAAAGTCGTTATCCAAACTATTATAACCAGTTCTGTAAGTAAAAAAAGCACAGATAGCCCAATTATTGATGAGGAATTTGAACTGACATTTGCAAGAGAGTATACAAATGGCCTATAAATGTTAAATGCTGCTCAGTCTCATTAACAATCAAGTAGATGTATATCATCTCTTCAAACAAGTATCATCATACACTGTCCATAATGACTAACATTAGAAAGGTTGACAATACCAAGTTGTGACTAGAGCAATAGAATATATATTGATGGTTGGAGAATTATTTTGGTATAGTCTCTGGAAAACAGTTTGACATTATCTATTAAAACTGAAGATAAATGGTGACTCTGTAATCCATGATCCAGTAATTATGTTCCTAGGCCTATATATTAAATATTTGTGGTATGATTGAAAAATATAGTAAATATTTAAATTTTTAAAATTTATTACGGTGAAAGACACACTGCCATTAATTCTCTTCAGAACACTCCCCCTCACTTCAAACACACTTATCCCCTTATTCTTGCTACTTTCTGAAGCATTCTGGAAGTCTTGTTTAGTGTCTATAGTTGTGCTGTTATGGCTGATTTGATGTCCTGAATTTGACTCAAAACGTGTATCTTTCATTGTCATTTTGACTTTGAGAGTGAGCTACAGATCTGGTGAATAAGGAAGATGAGAACACATGACAGAGTTTTTACCAGCCTGCCTTTTTATTGGATGGCACTCAGCAGCAACATTCACTGCATTTTTTATCATACTTTATAAAAACACCCATGAAAGAGGACTTCTGGAATTGCTTCGGAAAGTGTCAAGGGGCCAGGGATTTAGCTCAGTGGTTCCACCGCCTTCCTTGCAAGCGCAAGGACCCAAGTTCGATCCCCGGTACCAAAAAACAAAAACAAAAAGAGAATGTGGCAAGAACAGTGGGATAAGTGTGTTTGAAATGAGGGAGAATATTTGGAAGGTGATTAATGGCAATGTATTTTATACATATGACAAATTTACATATAATTTAAATAATGCTATTTAAATAATGTAAACACATTTACATATAATTATACATATAAAATTTAATATTTAAACATTCACCATATATATTTTTTTCTTTCTTTTTGAATTTTTTTATTGCTACATACTTGCAGGGCATGCAGTTTACAATCATCCTGGGGAGTGGGTATATGTACATAATGCAGTTTGTTTCTTCTTTTAATCTCCTTCCCTCTTCCCTTAATTTACCTTTCCCCATTTTCAGTCTTGTTGATATTACTAATCTTAGCTCATGTTGATCAGCTCTGGTATACATGTATGCACCAAAGGACATGATCAAGAGCATTTTAGTGGCACTATTTGTTAATTTAGTATGTATCTTTGAATGTGATTTTCATTTATTTTTCACAGCCAGGCAGATTTAGCCAGTCCCCTGTCTAATGCTGTGCAGGTTGTTGGCATGAGTGCCACTCTCCCTAATTTGGAACTTATAGCTTCCTGGTTGAATGCTGAACTCTACCATACTGACTTTCGTCCTGTACCACTTTTGGAGTTAGTAAAAATTGGAAATTCCATTTATGACTCTTCAATGAAACTTATAAGGGAATTTCAACCCATGCTGCAAGTGAAGGTAAATCATTACTTTTACATCACCACTATCAGTATCTTTGTGTTTGATGGCATTGTCCAACTAGTTATTAACAATTCTTAAATTGTATAATTAGAGGTTGCAAAGTTTATATATCCATTAGAATTAGTATTAAACTGTGTATATCCATTAGAATTAATAGTAAGCTAATATTAAAGAGTTGATGGTGATAGAAGGAATGTAGTTGTGTCTTTAAATGATCATTATTTCCTGATATATAAACGTTTTAAAAGTACCAAACTTTGTAAATTTTTCTGTTTCACTAAGAAAAGATTTCCTTATGGTTGAGTCTATACTAGTTTAATGTGGAAAATTAACCTTTTATTAATTATACTAATTTTGTACTATACTAATGGTAGTTATACTAAATAGTACATAGAATGAAAAGAACTTAATTTTAGGATTTAGACAGACCTACCTCTTAATAGAAATACTTGTTATTTTATTTTATTTATTTATTTTTTTGGTACCCTGGATCGAGCTCGGGTCCTTGCGCTTGTGGGGCAGGCGGTGGAACCACTGAGCTAAATCCCCAGCCCTAGAAATACTTGTTATAACTGAAATATTGGTTGAGTTGCAAAATCTCCCTGAATCTATCTATAAAATGTGATGTAATACTTTAGTACTGTTGTAAGGACAAAATACAGTTTTTAAAATTGTCTAGCTTCTGGGAGAGTTTGATAAGTAAAAAGCACATCCTTAAACCCCTGAATACACTTTTTAATTTTTAATTTTTAAATAATATTTTAATAGTTTTTTAGTAGATTTTGGTGATATATATTGCATATATTCATTGTGGGGAATTGGCATATTTATATATCACATCTTAGATTTTTTTACTTCTCCTTTGCCTCCCCTGACTACACTTTAAAAATTTTAGTTGACGATATTTTATTTGCTAAGCCTGATTCTTTAATCCTAAGGTTGAGGAAGTGTTATGTACTTCTACTGAGTGAGAGGCATTTTCTTTTTTTCTTTTGTAGTCCTATGGATTGAACCCAGGGCCTTCACACTGAGCAACATCCCCAGCCCATTTTAATTTTATTTATTTTTAATTTTTAGACAGGCTCTTGCTAAATTGTTAAACTGTTCAGGCTGGGCTCTAACGATCCTCCTGTTTCAGCTTCCTAGAGTGCTGGGATTTCAGGCATGGGCCACCAACTTTGGCTAAGGCATCTTCTATTTTTATGCATGCTTATACCTCTGAGTACTAGAAGAGCTTTAGAGTAGGGGGTAGGGATAAATTTATATGTCTCAGTGTCTTCATAGGTATGGATTTGTGGCCTCTGCATGTTTGATATGGAATCTTCCTCAGTTGCTTTGCTCTTTACCCTAAATTACACCAGGCATTGCTTTAGTAGCTCTGTAAGTTTATATGTTAAACACATTCATTTGCTCACTTGTTAATCTTTCCTTCTGATACCATGTCTATGCCTCTACTCTATTTGAACCACTTTCACTTCTGACCTGGAGCACTGAAACAGCCTCCTAACTGTTTTCTCTGCTTGTTCCCTTTAGTCTCTGCTTAAATAAGGAGCTAGTGATCTATTTAAAATGAACATCAGATCATGTTATTTGTCTGCTCAAAAACTTGCAGTGGTTAATTGTTTCATTTAGAATCAAAGCCAACATCTTCCAAGCAGCGTGCAGAGCCCTGTATGATCTGTTGCCACCCACTTGGTGTTCTGAGCTCACTTTCTACATTCCTCTCACTTCACCCAGCCTCCTTACCATTTTGCAGTCTGCCAGGCATCTCCCATCTCAAGTTCTCTTTGTGTGAAGTGCCTTCCCCTCCAGTATCAGTATGGTTCACTCAGTAACCATGGCTCCTTTACTCAAATGTCACTTTCTTAGACCTTCCCTGGACACCTTATTTAAATTACAGTGTCTTTCTCATGGTACCTAATTGTCTTCCCTGTTTTATTTTTCTCCTTAGCACTTTTTCAAGATGGAACATATTATCAATTTTACTTATTTTCTTTTTACTATTTTCTGTCTGTTCCTACTGGAGTAAAATCAGTACGAGGGCAGAATTTTTTTTTGCTTTGTTCTCTGCTCCATCCTCAGTTCCTAGAACAATACTGGACCCATAGTCAATTGTGTAGTGAGTGAAAGGAGGCATGAATTCATTACACAGATTGACATTTTTCCAGTATGGAGAACTTGCAGGCTGGCACAGGGCACTCACACGTGCTCTTTGTTCTGCCTGAATAGTGTGTTACTTTTCATTGAGATAATGTCCCCCACTCCCATTCACATGTTAGCTAAATCATTTTCTTAGGAAAATTTTTCTTTCAGGTCTCTGTCAAATTTCTGTCAAATATGAGGCCTTAAAAACACTGTACAACTCTTGTTTTAGGACATCTCGTGGTTGTATTTTACATTTATTTGTTTAGTATTTTATTTATATATTTATTGGTACTGGGGATCAAACTCAGGGCCTTGCACTTTCAAGGCAGGCATGGTGCCACTGAGCTAAATCCCTGACCTTGTTTAGTATTTTAATGTGTCTCTCAATGAGACTATAAACCCCTTGAAGATTAGGACTTTGATTTTCTTTTGTTCACCAGTATGTCCCTACTGCCTGAGGCTTGGAGTTCAGTACAAACTATTTGAATGCATGAAAAACCTTTCCTTCTCTCCTTGCATCATAAGGTTTATTTTTTACTTCTTGTTTTTTTTACTGGTTTTAAAAATTATTTTTATTATGCCTTTGGGTAGATAAACCTTCTCTATGAAACAAAATGAGTGATTTAAAACTGATTGAGAATGTATCACTGAGGTAGTGTTAATCTTTTTTAGGGAGATGACGATCATGTTGTTAGTTTATGCTATGAGACTGTTCGTGATAACCATTCAGTATTACTTTTTTGTCCATCAAAAAAATGGTGTGAGAAGCTGGCGGATATAATTGCTCGAGAGTTTTATAATCTACACCATCAAGCTGAGGGTGAGTTACAGATGAAAATAAAGGTCTCCATTATTAGTATGTTTGCAAGAGATAGATGGAGGGGGGAGAGAAGGGAAAGGGATGCAAAAAGAATTAAGATGTGTTATGTACATGTACCAATTCCCCACAGGAATGGAAACATCATGTACTGCTAACATGTACTACTACTAATAAAGAAAGTAATACTAGTAATTATATTAACAAAGCATGACTCTTTCATTATGGCTACTGCCTGCCCACTAGCTATGCTTTTGGGAGTCTTGTCCTCTCCTTATAGAAAATATGTTCACACACACTCAGGGCATTTGTCTTCAGAGTTTAAGAGTGCTGTGTTTATACAGGTATATACTAGTGTTCTTCATTTGGGATATATGGGCTTTGAGAGGTCGATTCTTGGAGTTTGTAAATTGTACACCAAACTACATATATGGTGTACTCCCATCCCTTGAAAGTGGTCACGTTTTGCTTAACATTTCCAAAGGTGTGACCTTAAAAAGGAATCTTATGTACGTAGATAGACGTGTGTGTGTACACATATATTCATATGTATTTTAAAATCACTTATTTAGGTATAGTTTATACATAATAAAATGTATCCTCTTTAAGTGTATAATTTGATGAATTTTAGCAAATGGGCACATCCATTTCACCATCACTAAAACCAAATACTTAGAACAGTTCCATCACTAAAATGTTCTGTTCTGCTCTTTTGGTGTCAGCCTCTTCTATGTCGGTACTGTCATTTTTTTTCTCTTTTTTTTCCAGTTTGTTTCAGCTAATGTATAAAATATTTTATAGTTAAGGCTGATGGATCTAGTTCAAATCATATCTGAACTTCGAGAATGTGAAATGCCTTGTTATCACAATACAGTTTTTAAAAAATTGTATCAGTTATTTTTACCTGAAGAGATTTTACATTCTAAAACATAGTGTAGTTAATGTGGATGTTTCTGCCATTTTACTTGTGTCTTAGAAACTAACAATTTTATGTAAATGAAGTCATACAGCATATATATGTCTTATATGGCTTCTTTCACTCAGAATGATGTTTTTGAGATTCACTGATGTTGTTACATTTATAATTTGTTCCTCTTTTTTGGTACTGGGGATCAAACTCGGGTTCTTCTGATTGCATGGCAGGCAGGAGCACCACTGAGCCCCGGCCCTATTCCTTTTTAATTGCTCAATGGTAACTCAGTGCATTGCTGTAACCATTGGTATCTATTTGTACTGATTCAAGGATGAACATAATTGTCTCAACACTTTTACTAATTAGCCTGTGGTCCTTTGGAGTCTAAGATAAATATAGGGAAGACAGACCAGTTCCAGTTCCAGGATAGTAGCATTTTATTACTTCTGTCAGTGGCATCATGAGGGCAGGAATAGATAACTCAAGCTTGGCTCTAACAAGTAAACTTTGCCTAAAGTTTATATTTTTTAGGCTCTTGTCCAGCACTGTATTATCTGTCCTATTTTCCTCTTAATTGATGCTTTCTCTACCATGCTAACTTGTATTTTTCACATTAAACCATGTCAACTCATTCCTTAATGACCAGAATCATTTTTTTCCTTTTTTTGAGGTTTTGTTATCTTGATCTGTAACTGTGATTCCCAAATGTTTGTGCTCCAACTGGAGCCTGGGCTATGATGAAATTTCTACCAGAATAATAAAGATAAAGCAGCACATTTTTCATAAATCTGAAGTTTAAATTTTGAAATTATCCCCACTGTCTTTTTTAAATGATGAAATGACTTCTGAGAAAAATATATTAATAGAAATGGTAGTTTGAAAACATTTTTAGTTGTCCTTAGCAAAATAAAACATTGGTAACCTGTGCTTCCTCAAACTTTTAAGAAAAGTTTATTTAAAAATTTAAAAAATGTAAAATATGAGTTGTAAAAATATATTTTATGTAAAGTTTTACAAGTTTAGAAATCTAAATTTCTGAAATTCTTTGGGGAAGAATGGGAAATTCTTTAGGAAAACAGATCCTGCATTTAAGAAAGTTAAGGTCTTACTTCGGAGAACGTTGCACAGGCAAAACCAAAAGGCAGTGTGTGATTATCAAATTAGTGCTAGAGAGGCTGGAAAGCTGTTCCCAGAAAACTAGGCTTCAAGGTGATACTGATATTGCTGGTTCGTGGGACACACCTTGAGTAAAGGTTTTGATTTTTAATCTTTGAGTAGTAATTAGTTTCTGTAATCCTCTTTCTCCTATAGCAGGTCCTTCCCCCTCCCTTTGGATTTGATAACATCCTAATACAAAGTCTCCTAAACTGTGTTAGAATCACCTGAGAAGACTGAAAAATTCTTAGGACCAGGTCACACCCATTCCAGGTATATCACAGCATCTGGAGATCAGTATTTTGAAATATGCAGTGGTTTCTAAACAATTGCCTTGGCATTTTCTCTGTCATGATTTAGGCCCATAGCACTTAAGAGGTGAACAGTGTTGAGGTATTAATAGTTTTTTTTTTTTTTTGGTGTGTGTGTGTGTGTGTGTGTGTGTGTGTGTGTGTGTGCATGCCCCCCATTGACAGGATTGGCAAAAGCATCTGAATTTATACCACCGATTCTGGAACAAAAGAGCCTCTTGGAAGTAGTAGATCAATTGAAACGTTCACCTTCAGGTCTGGACTCTGTGTTACAAAAAACTGTACCATGGGGAGTAGCATTTCATCATGCAGGTATTCTATATTATAATCAGTTATTAAGAAGCCCTCTCAAAAAATTCTCACTTTCTTCATTTTTATATTTATTTGCATTTATTTCCTGTTAACCATGATTCATACTCTTAAATTTCATTTTAAGAAACTGTGGTTAAGTTAAACAAGAGTAAAACAAACATATTTACTTATCTGTGTAGTATATAGATACTAGGTAAAGGCTTTTTGAACTATCGGGGAAGGGAATTCTAAAATCCGTAACTTTCTGTATTATGTTTTCTTTTTTTTTTTAAAGCTTTTTTTTTTTTTTTGGTACCGGGGATCGAACTCAGGACCTTGCGCTTGGGAGGCAGGCGCCGGAACCACTGAGCTAAATCTCCAGGCCTGTATTATGTTTTCTTAAAACTTAGGTTGTAGTGGTACTTGCTACTCTAATTTTATGCTGCACTGGGTGTCACCTTTTATTACAAAGAATATTCAGATATTTTCACAGATACGTCAAATTCAAATTTATTTTAGAAATTGTGATATTGCATTTGGAGAGAGCTAAAGTATTTGAATATCAAATGGATAGGCGGTCAAAATTGCAAAAATTTTCACAGTCATTGAATAAAGAACTTTTTCCAGTCCACTATCACCACTCCTGTTCAATATAGTTCTGGAAACATTAGCCACAGCAATTAGAAAAGAGAAAGAAATAAAAGGAATAAAGATAGGAAAAGAA